CAGGATCTGCAATAATAGTCAATGTGGAAGGGAGAACCTTGCCGGGGGACTTTGCAAAAAATTCAATGTCAGACAATGAGGCAGGGAAGAGAGAAACCCCCATGGAGAGGGAGCCTTTCCCCCGACTGAAAACCTGCCAGATGTCGGGATCTGAAATATCATACTCCTCAGGAGAAGAGGGGGTGGAGATGCATAACCACAAACTTTGGTGGTCAATGGGCATTGGAAAGGCATGTGGAAAAAGAGATCAAGAAAGGTGACTCTGAGATGGGGTGCCAACGAACTAGAATGGAAGCAGGAGATGGAGAAATCCCTGCACCTGAGCAAAGAGGAAGGAAGTTGGGCACAGCACTTGTACTGGCTCCTAGAGAAAGCTATTGACCTGATGAAAAGAACCCTCGGCTCCCTAGGGGAGGAGAATTCTGAGCCCCGCAGCCACGCTAGCAACTGGAGCTGCAGCAGGAGGACACTGAGGGGGAATTGGGGCCTGGAGTCCCAGGGACATCTGCTGAACCAGTAGTAACCACTTCAGCAGCCCTCACTCCCCACCGGCCCGCAGATGGTGATCCGGATGGAAGACAATACTACTGATGGCGAAGGCACCAATCCATTCAAAGGCTCCCACTGCTGGAAGCAAAATTCAAGGGGGAGCCGAAATGCTTGGGGTTTTTCCTAACCCAAGTCCTCAGCTATATGGAGGAATATGGGCGGCACATCACTAATGACAAAGCTCATATCCGTATTGTGCAATCCACCCTGGATGGACTGGCCTCAGATTAGGTGGTGAATTTGCTTGATTCTGATGCCCCAGAGCTCAACGACTTCAACCATTTCATTTCCTCTCTGAGAAGGTGATTTGAGGACCCCCTGGCTGATCACAAAGTCTGTGAAAGAATCAAAATGGTGAGACAAGGCAGATGCCCGGTAGCCGAATATACACAAGAATTCCGGGGCATTGCCAGCAAGCTGAACTGGCCAGAAGACATCCTCCTTAGCCATTTCAAAGATAGCCTAAATTATGACCTGTATGATGCTTGCCTGCCTCGGGGGGACCCACACCAACTCGACAAGTAGTACATCCTGCAGAGGAAGCAGAGATCAACCTACATCCAAGAAGCCAATGGGCTGTTTCAAATGCAGGAGAGAGGGGCATTGGGCTGTAGAATGCCGCTTAAAAGCTTCCCAGCACAACCCAGACAGATCACCTGCCAGTAAATCCAGGAAGATCCCAGCTAAGCCAAAAGAACCCGCCATGAGAGTAATAGAGGCTGTGGAATCATGAACCTCTGCCCAACATGGGGAAGGAACACCAGCCTACACCGCAGGGCCGGTGGATGCCTCAGACGATAGCTTGGTAAGTGGACCCATCGCACCTATCCTGAAGACAGTGACTATATTAATTCCCTCCATGCCCGAAGCTGTCAAGGTGAAAGACTTAATAAACTCTGGCTGCACCCGTTGCCTCATTAGCCTGATGCTAGTGGGGAATATGGGCATTGCAGTGAGGAGGCTAGAACAACCAATCTCATTTGGCCAGTTAGATGGGTACATAGCGGGGGGGGGGGGTTACCAGCTACCCTAGCCACTTTACCAGTCCACCTATCCCTGGGAAATCATGAGGAAGTGACCCCAAGCATGGAATGCCTGATGATCCTAGGGCTGGAATGATTAAATAAATGGAACCCCTGGGTAAATTGGAGGATGGCAGAAATCAATTTCCTGAAAGGGGACCCTACAGACTTAAGAGGATCTACCAAAATTAAGAATGGAAAAAGCATCCATGGGAGAAGAAATGGGGCTGCCCGATATACTAGAGGAATACAGAGATCTTGCTAAAGTTTTCAGTGAGGAGAGGGCAGATGAGCTCCCCCCCTTACTGACCCATGGACTGTGCCATAGAATTCAAGCCTGGGGCAAAAATCCCAAAGCTCAGACTATACTCCATGAGCCCAAAGGAGAAGGAGGAAATGGAAAGATTCATAAAGAAAAACCTAGAAAGGGGGTTCATTGAACCTGCCAAACCTAAAGTGGCCGCCCAGGTCCTCTTTAGAGAGAAGAAGGATGGCTCTTTATGTTTATGCATAGACTACCACCTATTGAATACAATCAGTGAAAGCAACCTATACCCCCTATCCCTCGTGAAGGACATGTTATCACACCTATTGAAAGGAAGAATTTTTACTAAACTAGATCTAAGGGAAGCGTATTACCACGTTAGAATTAAGGAAGGGGACGAATGGAAAACCGCATTTAATTGCCCAGTGGGGTGCTACCAATTCAAAGTTTTGCCATTTGGATTACAAAGGGGTCCTGCAGTATTTATGCAATTAATCAATGAGGTACTAAGGGAGGACCTATTTAAGGGGGGTCCTGGTATATTAAATGTCATCATTATCTTCACTGAATTCCAAGAAGATGTCAACTTAGTCAGAGCAGTTTTAAAGAAACTGCGAGCTGCCCATCTATATGCCAAATTATCGAAATGCGAATTCCACCAGGAAAGAATAGACTACCTGGGTTATTGCATATCCCCACAGGGCATTGAAATGGACCCAGAGAAGGTCAGAGCAGTATTAGAATGGGCACCACCTCGAGGTGATGCCCATTCTAATACTGTTCTGACCAGCCCCCCCAATTGCCTTTAAGATGGAACCTGGATGGGTTATCCCAGGAATGGTTTGTATTGAGCAGCTGCAAACTCCAACCCAGGTGAATATCTCAATGACTTCCATTCTCAGTAATGGGAGAGCAACCCACCTAAAACCATGCCAAGAACACTTCATGCTTGTGACAACCAAACCCATTTTGGAAGCAACAGTGTTCCAGACCAGCAAAAATCACAATGTCTTAGCCTTGTTGATAGAGGACAAAGAATTTCTGCAGCTACGCAGCCACATCTGCCAGAACAGAAGCAAGACTGGGAAACGTGGCATAGACCTCTAAATTGTCTCCAAAGTGTCTATATACAGTGCACATATGTTCTCAGTTCACTTGCCGTGCAACAAAGAAAGAGTTACATGTATTCTCAGATGCTTCAACAAAGGCAATAACAGCTATGGGATACATCAGAGTCTACAGAGGGAAGAGCTACAACATCGGTTTTGTTATGGGAAAAGTGAAATTGGCACCACAACAAGGTCACACAATACCTAGATTAAAGCTCTGCGGTGGCGTTCTGGCCATAGAACTCACAGACATAATATTGAAAAAGATAGACCTTGAGCTGCAATCCACCACCCACTATACGGATAACAAGGTGGTATTGTGCTACATCTACAACCAAAGCAGATGCTTCTATGTATATGTAAGCAATAGAGTAGAAAGTATTAAAAGAATTTCAAACCCTGAGCAATGGAGTATATGCTAACAGATCAGAACCTTGTGGACCAAGCTAAGCAATCCATTCTTGCATCACAGTTGGCAGAATTGATCTGGCTAAAGAGTCCTGAGTTCTTGGCTTGTTCAGACAGCCTGATGCCACAAGGACCAGAACACTATGCACTTCTAGACCCAGATCAAGGTGCCAATGTTCGACCTCAGGCACCCAGCAAATTTCTCAGACAGGCAGAGAAAACAACTGGCCAGATCATCTGCTTGTCCACAATGGGCAAGGAGACAGAGAAACTGCTTTCTAACCATTTCCTAAAACCAGCCTGCTTCAAACGTCCCGCCAAACAGAGACCCCACATATTGAGCAAAGCAGTAATCGTCCTGTTCACTTGTCTTGGCATCCAAGGAACTAATTTTGTAGGAGCAAGAACTTACAGACTATTGAAGGCATTTGCCATGACCCAATAATTGACAAATACCTGAAGGCCCAAAATTGTGTATGGACATTCAATCCTCCCTATGCATCACACATGCATCCCATATGGGAGGAGTGTGGGAGCACATGATTGGTGTAGCCCGCAAAATCTTGGACTCTATGTTGACAAAGTTGCTCACACTAATGCATGAGGTTCTCACTACCCTCATGGCAGAAGTAGCAGCCATCATCAATGCTCAATCTTTGGTTCCAGTTTCTTCTGATCCTGAAAATCCAACTATCCTCACCCCAGCCGCCTTGTTAACCCTGAAGACAGGTGACTGGCCAGCACCATTAGGGAACTTTGTTCCGAAAGACATGTATAAACAGCAATGGAGACAAGTTCAACTGCTGGCCAACACCTTCTGGAAGCAAAAATACTTGTCTACCCTTCAGGATCGTCGCAAATGGAAGACCAAAGAGCCTAACCTAGAAGAAGGAGACCTTGTCTTGCTGAGAGACAAGGATGCACATCGGAACTCTTGGCGCATAGGACTTGTGTACCAGGTCCTGCCCAGCTCTGATGGACTAGTTCACCAAGTTGAGATCCAGACTATGTAGCCACATGAGTCAGATTGTGACTCAAAGACTCTCGTGAAGAGGCTTTATACCAGACTGATCACCGACTTGGTACTGCTGCTGAAGAAGACCGAACTTGAAGATTGATCCTCAAACTATGTATATTGTGTTTACCTCATAATTGCATTGTTTGATGTAATGCCTTTGCTTATCTCAGTTATAGTTATGCATGTTTTGATATCATGTTTTTTGCCTATTCTAGTTAATAGTTAGTTAATAGTGAAAAATGCATGTTTGATGCCATGTTTTTGCTTATTCTAGTTAATAGTCAGCTAATAGTGAAAATTGCATTGTTTGATGCTACGTTTTTGCTTATTTTAGTTAATAGTGGAAATTTACATTTCCAAGGGGGGAGTGTGCTGGACCAATGTAACTCTGGCGAGAGCATACATTAGCTTAAGAACTGTGTTAGAATATTTAGCATTTAAAGGGTTAATGCTGTCTCCTTAAGAGATGGCTTCTGGGAAATGTAGTCTAATTGTCTAACCTTCTCTGCATGAGACAGAATACCTACATTCTGGAAGAACTTTGACTATAACTATAAGTTAATGTCTTGAGGATACCTGGAATAAAAGTAATCTTTGTATGACTTATTCACTGAGTTTATCTGTCTGTTTCAAGTGGAACCAGTAACCTTCTCTGCATGAGACAGAATATAAACTATACTAAAATAAAATTAAAAAGCATAAAAGAAACTTACAGCTCTTAAAGCAGTATTCATTCAGGCCTTATCTGCTATCCTGTCCAATTTACATTATAAATGAAAGCAAAGTGTATATAGGGTATTCAGTTTAGGATAAGAAGTAGTACAATAAGGACTGAAGCTCTTGATGCTACTAAATGTATACTTTATGTTGAGTAATATTGGCAAAAAGAAGGAAATTATTTTTCAAGGAAAGAAAATGGGTGCATATGATTTGTATATAATCCATAGCAAGCTTAAATAAAAAGTCAGAAACTAGAAGATTTACACTTCCTTATTTAGGCTTCAAGTTCAAATACATACTAAAAAAAGGCAATTTTGATTTATAAAATGACTTTAACCTCTCACCAGCACTGATGTTAATTTCATATGCAAGTTTCCAAAGATGAATTTAATCATAATGGTACTATTTATATCTCTATAAATTTAGTTCATTGCAATATAAATAGTAGTGCCAATGGCATTAACAGCAGCTTTCAGCAGCATCACAGGTATTAAAAGATGCTCTATGCTGTTGTATTTCTGTGCATATTAATCAATTGGATAATTTGGACTATTCAACTGTACTTAATTGAATAGTCCAAGTTATCTAATTGGTTCCACAATAAAGATGAATGCCCACACTTAAGAAGAAAATCAAGTACATCTATTCAGTATACAATAATTCTTTATAAATATTTTTGAAAACGGTATTAATATATTTTGATATCTATCATATAAAACATATCTTAAAGGACTTTATCAAGCTGAAACTTGTCTTAGATATTCTTGGTCATGATATAATGTGACTGAAATCTCCCAGATGTTGCAAGATCTCATTGACTAATTACAATCTACCTCATTTGTAAGAGTGATAACTGGATGTTGATACCTTTAATTCCCTCAGTGACTAAGATGCAATGACTGCTTTTTGAAAAGCAGAATGAGAAGAGGTTTTAACACAAAATAAGGAAATCCTTCATACACACTTACGGTCTCCATGGCAATGCAGAGGGCCCACAGTTAACTTGGCATCAGAGCCTGGCCGACCAATATCTCCAACCACCACTTGACTGATAGGTAAATGGTCTTTGTAAGATAAAAAACCAGCATCTTTTCTCCTATGTAGTGAAAAGAAAGAAAAATCAAACATATTTAATAAGAGAGGTGTTGTTTACTGAAAGGCTGGGTGGATCTTAAGCCAGTCAAGATCGAACTTCTGGCAGTGAGTAGAATCAGTCTGCAATACTGCATTCTAACTATTGTGCCTCTAAAATATTATTTTATTGCTGCCTTTGGTTGTCTAGATCCAGCCTCAAGTATAAGCTTCCATTTTTTCAGCCTACTCCTGAAGATTCAACCAGGGTCAAGGATTTTGTTTTTAGGAACTGACAATCTTTCCTTTAGATCAGTATTTTCACTTTAAGAGGTATGGACTTCAACTCCCAGAATGGTTAAAATCTACACCTCTTAAGTTGGTAAAAATTATTTATTTATAATATTTATTGGTCTCCCATCTTACCATAAGATAACTGTGGGTGGCTTACAGATATAAAAATGCATCTACATTAAAACAAGAGTACATTAAAACCAATATTTAAAATTAAGGGCACATGGAGAGGGAGAGAGTCAAATGGAGGGAGGCGGGATCTGTTGTTGCTTGATCAATCACCTCCACTGTGCTGTTTCCCCATTGGGGCCCAGGCCAACTGGCAGAGACAGGTCTTTAGACTCTTATAAAAGAATAGAAGAATTGAGGCCAACCTCACATTGGGTAGAAAAATGTTCCAGAGGGCAGGAGCAACAGTGAAAACACCCTCCCCTGGACACTACCAGCCAAAATAATTGGGTTGATGGAATCTGTAGCATATCTCCTCTGCTGGCATAAGGCCAATCCCAAAGGGGTGAGATGGTGCTTCATGTAACCTGGACCCATGTCATGAAGGGCTTTAAAGGTGATCACCAATACCTCGAATTGCATCCGGAAGCAGACTGGCAAGTAATGTAGCTTGCAGAGCAGTGGTGTTAAGGAGCCATTCTTGGGTCACCCAAAACTACCTGTGCTGCCACACTCTGCACTAGTTGTAGGCTCCGAATGCTCTTCAAAGATAGCCTTATGTAGAGTGCATTATAATAGTCTAACTGTGAGATGACTAGGGAGAAGGATGGAGGAATTCTTCCCTTGATACTTCTTGTCAGGACAGCTACTAACAGCTACTACCAATTACATTGTTACAGTTTTGGAGCTGAAAAATCAAATGAAATATATTTGATAATATGTAGAATTCAACCTGCCAGGAGTTGTTTAGCAGAACTTGTAACCAGATAAAGATTGTAATCAAATGGAACAGAACATAGTGGGAATGTTAGTTAACCCATTATCAACCAAAGGAAAATTAGTTTGAATTGTTTTGCTTAGATTTGTAAATGTTTTCAAAGGTTTGATGCTCTAATTTCACTCTTTGCACACAGACACAGACACAGACAAACACACATATATATATGTAGGTCTTTGGTTATTCGGGTTTTCTCCCGCGTCAAATTGGAAGCGTCTTGGTGCCATCCAGACGAAGTCTCACTCATCATCTTCAGGCTGGTGTCTTTAGCTTCGTGCTCCTAGAAGCATGAAGCCGAAGACACCAGCCTGAAGATGACGAGTGAGACTTTGTCGGGACGGCGCCAAGACGCTTCCAATTTGACTCGGGAGAAAACCCAAATAACCAAAGACCTACATACAAACACCCGCGAAAACCTCAGAAAACACACACACACACACACACACACACACACACACACACACATATACAGTACATTAACTCAGAATATTTCATTAAGCTTTTTTTCTTTTGTGAAACTGCACTGAAAAATAAGTTTTTAGTTCAGGACTGGGTTGGGAGAAAGAAACCAGCTGATTTGAAACCTGCCCAGTTGTTGAGCTCAATGAAGTAGTCTGATTGGAACATGAAGTGATAGAATTGCAGATAAAGGTTCAGCCTGACTTGTTTATGGATTGATGTAGCAAAGTAGCTGAAAAGGGGGGCATAGTGGATGTGGGATATTGGATGTTGGAGAAGAGAATGTTACTGGAGGCTGGGGGGGGGCTTTCTTCCCCATCCCCTGTGGTTAGCTCAAGCCTGTTGGCTACACAAGAGGAATGTGAAAGTTGGAAAGAAAGAAGATTGATTAATAGTAAAAGAGAAAAAGTTACTCAGGTAAAGTTGATAGTAGAAGATGCACAGAGGAAGCTGAAATGGCACACAAGTACATGAAGGAAATGAATGTTGAGAGGGGAGGGGTTATGTGTTTTGGTTTTGGCTGATGTTGTGGATGGTACACAGTAGCTGGATAGGTTGTGACATTTAGTGGTGAGGCCATTTCAATACAGGCCTCAACTTTGGAAAATTTGCCTTGTCCCATTTGAAATGATGGATGGAACATGCACAAAGGTTCAAGAATGTCAATGAAGAAGAATGTTACTCAGTATTTGCATAATCTGGCACAGGTTTTGTCTGCTATCTCAGTATAGGCCCAGGCTGCCCTATCATCTGTCTCTGACTAATCATTGCTCCTGGAGAGTGGGTTAAGGTGAAAAGAACCTAGAAATACCAGTCCTGAGTGATCCCAACTGTTGTGTCGTTGCAATGGTCTCGGGCAGTTGCAAGCTGCCCAGGACCAGACTGGCTGGTGCCAGCGCTCGCGTGCATGCGCGAGGCGTGCCGCATGCCTAAATGTTGCTTTTTGGCCCGGGGATTGTCTTTAAGAGAGGCTGAGAGGTTTGTTCTGCTCAAAGTTGTAACGGGGGCTACTGAAGACCAATAAAGAGTTCCTGAAACCACAGAATGTCTCGCGCCGTCATTGCCATCCACCGAGGACTCAACACTGGAGACGAAGGTGGGATTGCCTTACAATTACACAAAGAATTGTAAGCTTACCCTGGAGTCCTGAGACAGTGAGGAAACGGCGTTAAATTCAGCAACTGCCTGCCAATACAGCTTCGTTGGAGGTAAGCTGGCTGATAGACCCTTCCTGCTTTACTGAAGATGGCAAAGATAGGGAAACTTTCTGAGTTTGATGTTACACATCCAGAAAGATGGGAATCTAATGTGGCCCGAACAGAAAATTATTTCAGAGTTAATCAAGTAAGAGAAGATGGCTTAAAGGCCCCCACCCTACTGTGTGTTTGTGGTCAAGATGCATTTGAAATTGCTGAAAATTTAGTAGCCCCTGCACCTCTTGAATCTGTTACCTACACAGATTTAAAGAAATTATTAAAAGAGTATTTTCAGCCCAAGTTGTCTGTTATTGCTTGGAGACATACTTTTGAACAGAGGGATCAATGGGCTGGTGAATCAGCTAAAGAATACATTGCTGCATTAAGAAGAGCAGCTAAGCATTGTGAGTTTAAAGACTTAGAGGAAAGGCTGAGAGACAGATTTGTATGTGGGCTGAGAAACAGAGATGTGTAGCAAAGACTTTTCGCTAAAGAGGACATATCGTTCCAAGATGCCTTGAGAGAGGTTACTGCAGAAGAGGCAGCAAGTGGGGCAATCAAGAATATGAGGCCTATCAGAAGTACTCCAGAAGCTGTTTCCGTGCACCACAAGGGAGTCCAAGGAAGCTCAGAAGAGGAACCTGATGAAGAAGTAGATCATCTCTACCCAACCAAAGAAGGGAAGCAGAGGGAAGGCAAAGAAAAGTCTTCACCTGTACCCAAGTGCTTCGGGTGTGGAGGTCGCCACAAGAGGACCGACTGCAAGTTCCGTTCTGCAATCTGTAGAGCATGTGGGAAGCAAGGCCACATAGCAGCTGTGTGTCTGGGCCATCAGAAGGTACAACCCTGAGAAGAATTGTGCCTGAAAGGTACCAGGGTCCCCAGCCAAAACAGGGTGGGTTTCTGTGCTTCACGAAGAAGCATTTATAGGACAGGCACACACAAGCCACTCAAAAAGAAACTGTCACTTAAGGTGAAGTTGCAAGGGGTTCGATTGGTCATGGAACTAGACACTAGGTCTGCACTTTCAATCATTTCCATTCACATATTCAGAAAGATTTGTTCTGGTAGTGGTTTTCAGGCCAAGCTTAGGCCTTCTAATATAGTGCTAACAGACTTTCAAAACTCCAAAGTGTGTGTTAAGGGGGAGGCCACCCTTAATGTACAGTATAAGGATTTTGAAGGTCCATTAGATGTATTGATAGTGGGGGGTGAGCGCACGAGTCTCATAGGACTCGATTGGTTTGAGGCCTTGGGAATACAAGTTACAGGGCTCAATAGCTTGCAAACAGTAGATTTACAGGAAGTCTGCAAAGAATTTGCAGATGTTTTCAGCCCACAGCTGGGCACATACAAAGGGCCCCCAGTCTCTTTGAAGTTGGACCCCACTGTTACTCCTATCAGAGTAAAAGCAAGAAGGGTACCTTTTGCTTTAAAAGGGAAAATTGATGCTAAATTGGACAAATTGATTCAGCAAGGAGTCTTAGAACCTGTTGACTCCAGTCCTTGGGAAACTCCCATAGTTACGCCTCTTAAGGCTAATGGGGACATTCGCATCTGTGCAGATTACAAATGCACTCTCAATAAGGCATTGCAACAACATGCCTATCCTGTACCTGTAGTCAGCCATATTCTGGCCTCCCTCAAGGGGGGCATGTTTTTGCAAAGCTTGACTTAGCACAGGCTTATCAACAGCTGCCTGTTGATGAAGCTGCTGCTGTAGCACAAACAATTGTAACTCATAGGGGGGCATTCAAAGTCAAGAGACTACAATTTGGAGTAAACGTGGCTCCTGGAATTTTCCAAAGTGTAATGGAAAATACCTTGAGGGGTATACCAGGGGTTTGCCCCTATTTTGATGATGTCTTAATTGCAGGAGACTCCACCCAAAATTTAGCTGAGAGATTGAGGGCTGTCCTGTTGCGGTTCCAGAAAACAGGACTTAAGCTTAAAAAGGACAAATGTAAAATTGGGGTGCCTTCTACAGATTTTCTGGGATTCAAAATTGATGCCAATGGGATTCATCCTGCTGAGTCCAAGCTAAAAGCTATCATGCAAGCTCCTAGGCCTAAGTCCAAAGCTGAACTACAAGCTTTTCTGGGCCTCTTGAATTTTTATAATTCATTCATT